ATTGAATAGTTGAATAGTTGAAACTTCAATTATTCAATAATTGAATAGTTGAATAGTTGAATAGTTGAATAGTTGAATAGTTGAAACTTCAACTATTCAAAAGTTGAATAATTGAATAGTTGAAACTTCAAGTATTCAATAATTGAATAACTGAATAGTTGAAACTTCAATTATTCAATAATTGAATAGTTGAACTAATAGTTGAATAGTTGAATTCAACTTTCAAGTTTGACACTACTGGCTTGATGGATCATCAATGATGATCTATCAAATCAATAGCAAATAAATACATTGTAGGTAGAATATTATATGTCTAAATACGTTTTTTTTTTTTCTAAATTTATATCGAGAATTTTTGTATGATAATAGATATAAAGAAACTGGTTAATTGTTCATTTGTTGTGTCTAAACTCAAGTTTCAAAATTTTACTTACTAAAAAAAATAAATGTGGAAACCTCGGATTTAAATCCGAGAGTTATGTGTACTTCAAAAAGTGAATCAGACAGAGGAGTCACCCTAGAATGTGTGAACATCAAAATTGTCCTGGCAAACCCTTTCTGTAAACACTTAATTTCTATTGGCTATTGCTCAGTCAATACGATTTGGAGGCAAATACAGCTCAGATTTGAACTCTTCACCTTGATTTACCCTAAGAAACTCGTTTTTCCTATAACTTGATTTCTATTGGTCACTGCTCAACCAATGGGATTTCGAGGCGAATGGAACATAGATTCGAGTTCTCCATTCTAGAAAACCTCGAACTATTATCTCTGTGATGGGAAGATGAACTCTAATTGTGGATCATATAGAGCGTGGACAAAAACAGAACCGAATTCCGATTAATTATCTTTGCAATAGGCGAGTTAGCTTTCTTGTTTCTTTATGTTTTATATACCATTTTGTAGCTCGTGAAATTCTCTATCGAATAGTATATAATAGTTGGGGTTTTATCTGACTATGATAGGAACAGTTTTTTATGAAAACAGAGAAGGGTCTATCTTCTCATAGGGAAAAATGACTATTTTTGCAATAACTCAGCAATGGTTCGGCCAATCATTCTCATCTTCGAACTCGACCGAGACATTGTTAAGACTGAACTGTGCAGAAAATTTCATCGCGATTGGACTCTCCTTTCAAAAGTTATCGTGTTAACGGCCGGACGGCCGGACGGACGGACACACTGACCGATTCTAGAGTGTACTCACTTTTTGAGTACACAAAAAAGAGGTCGCTACAATATCATCTACGACGATATTTTCTCTTGTTATTTGTCATTTTTTGAAAAAAAATCTTAGAACAAAGATCGATAAAGAGTAATTTTCTTTATATATTTTATCAAATCTTGTCAAAAAAAAAAATTTAGTCATAACACATTTCTAATTTGTGTGTCTTTGCTTTAGATTAACGATAAATATATTAGTTTGAAAAGAAAATATTTTATTAATATTTAAAATGAATCCTTCATTTAATGAATTAAACAATTTACCAAATGAAATTCTTGTTAAAATGTTAAAATATTTAAGTCATTATGATATACTGTATTCGTTTTATGATATTAATGAAAGATTTAATTCAATTATTAAGAATTATTTTTTAAAAAATAATTTAACATTAATAATTAATAATGATTCATTAATATCATTTGATAATAAAATATTAGAAAGTGTATATGAAATAATACCAATGATTGAAAATAATATTAAATGTATTAATATTGATTCATTAATTATAGAAAATATTATTGATCGAGCAAATTATCCAAATTTAAAACAAGTTACTATTTATACTTCATTACAAGAATCAATTAATATATTTATTGGTAAAGTTAATTGTTACTTTTGCTCAATTATTATTTATTAAAAAATAAAAAATGGAATAATTTTGAATATTTAATTTTTTTTTTGTTTAGATGGAAGCTTGTTTATAAAAATATTTGGTCAAAAAATTGAAAAATTGATGATAAAATCTCGAAGAATTTTAAAACCAATTATCAATACATTTGGTGAATATGATATACTTGAACACAGAGAAATATTACAAGATTTATTCAAAAAAATGTTCTACAATGTTTCAAAATTTAATATCTTTACAATTTTATTTATTTATAAATAATCAACAATTAACATTTGATTTTAGAGAAGTTATTTCTTTTTCATCTAATATTACTCAATTATATGTTACAGTTAATCATTTTAATGATTGTCTTTATATATTAGATGGAAGTTTCAATCAATTACAAAAATTTTATATTATCATTTTTGGTACTGGTGATTTACCATCAACAGATCATGTAGAAGTAATTTTGTTTTATTCCAATTATTAATTAATATAAATTCATTTTTTAGATTGAAATTTCTAATATAAAATGTTTTTCTATTAGATACAAAAATAAAATATTAAATTATGATCGTGGTCTGATACCACTTTTACATCGTATGATTAATTTAGAAGAATTTCATATACATTTTATTAAAACTACTTTACCAATAATCGATGAACATATATTAAAAGTTGAATTTATTGATAATATACCTAAATTAAAAAAATTTATTTTTAATATTGGATCATTAACTTATCTTGGTAATCAACATTATTTATCATCAAATGAAAATATTAAACATTCATCTAAAAAGTTTCAAAATTCTGAAATGATATCAAATATTGATTATTTTGAACGTACACGATTCCTTTATTCTCATATTTATTCACATCCATACACATGGGATTTTTATCATCATATATCAAATAATTTTCGTGGTGGTTTATTTAAATCTGTTCGTATAATATCATTATTTGATGAACAACCATTCGAACACGATTTTTTTCTTCTTATTGCTCAATCATTTCCATATTTTAGTAGATTAATTTTACGTAATAATGAAATACAAAAAAAATATTAATTGTCAACAAATACCAATTAAATATAATAATCTTCTCAATATTGATCTTATTCAATCTCATGATAATTATATTGAAGAATTTCTTAATAATAATAAAACATGTTTATTAAATGGTATTTATCTTAATATATCATATAAATTATTATTAAGACAAACAAATAATTTTACAAAAGATGAATATCGAACAAATTGTTCAAAAATAAATTATCTCAAATTAAAAAATGATAAAGAAGATTTAATTAACGAAAATTTAATAAAATATTTTCATAATGCAACAATTGATTATTATCATTAAACATAAACTATAAAATAAACATTAACTTTTCTTTCAAAAAAAAAAAAAATTTTTTTCTCATAAATTCTTTCATTAAATGTATTTTCTCTATCTACTTTATCTAAACTAATAAAATAACTTCACTAATAATAACAACATAAAAGAGAAACAATCATTCTACCTAACATTACACATACATAAGATAATATCCTAATAAAACTAAATCTTGATTTTTATATACAATTTATTTCATTGTAATATCAATATGATAAATGATAATCAGTAACTTTAATTGATATACTAGAAGAAATTAAAAATAAAATCAAGTTTAATATCTAACAATTTTCCATTGATTTACATAATCAAATCTTTCAAGATACGTCTTGATCTAACGTTATGTATTGGACAAGAATTTTTGCTGAAAAATAATAAGAGAAAATCTATTAAAAATAGAAATTCTAATTTGAAATTATAAAAAACAAAAGATATTTTTGTTTCTTTTTTTGTCAACATATCTTCCCATATGATATTCTTAAAAAAAAAGATATAAGAGAATTTTGTTTAATAATAAATAATTCAATAAAAATGAACTATATAAAAAAAAAAAAAAACTATGGTTGTTAGACATCAATAACATTATGTTCATTAATATCTTATCTATACGCAAATATCTTTCCAAAGAAACTTTAAATAAATTCAAGAAAATAATGCATGAAAAATCATACTGAAAGATATTTCACAAATTTGTCTTCTTTATTTTTATATTCAATTAAAAATCTTCTTCGTCTTAAAAAAGATTCTCTGACTAACATTTCATCAAATTAAAAATCAAACAAATATCATAATTAATTATTTTAAGTCCATTAATCAACAGTTCAGATAAACAGAGATTCAGCAAGTATTTCAGATGCCAAAAACTAAAATCAGATTGAAAAACAAATAACGAAAAAAAAGAACAATTATAAATTTACTTTTGATGAACAGCAAAGTGTACTTGTGATCTCACTAGGGAAGCTGCAAAATAACTTTTTTTGGTCCTGACCAAAAATTTCTTTTGAGTCTCAGTCCCGGCTAAGATTTTTTTTCAGTCTCGGTCTTTACTATGGATAAAATTTTCCATTTTCACAGGTATAAAAACTGAAGATTTTCCTTAAATTTACAAATAAAATTTGACTATTGTTAACGGTATCGTGATCTGTAATAAATTTTCGTCAGATTTTCAAACAAAAAACCATCACTTGACAAATTTTTAATTGAAACAGTATGAAAATGTATACTACAATGCTTGACAAAAATCAACTGACCGGAATCAGTGCGAAAAAGTTTTAGTCCCGGTCCCGGCGGGACTAGAACTACTCTGCAGTTCCCTAGATCTCACTATAATTAGGAATATTCCAATACCAATACCACCAATACCAAATGGTATTCGTATTGGTGGTATTGGTATTGGTATTGGTATCGCTATATGGGGCAGGATGGGGACTGGTAGTCCCTCAGGTCAATCTGAATGTATCAAAAAAACTGATCACAGATTCGGAATCCTCGACCCCGACAACCTTTGATCACTTTATATAAAAAATCGTTATTTTCTCCAAATAACGTGTTCCTGATGAAAAAATCAAAGTCGCAAAATTTGAGAAGATAATTATAAATTCTTGATTTTTTTATCAGGAATACGTTTATTTGAAGAAAATAATGATTTTTTATAAAATTTGATCAAAGATTTTTCGAGGTTGAGGAATCCAAACCCATGATCAGTTTCTCGATACATTCAGATTGACCTAAGGAATTACTAGCTCTTCCCCCCCCCCCCCCCCCATATACCAATACCCCAATACCGTATTGGTATTGTTACATCTCTAACCGTAATCAACATGTTCTTTGGAAAGATCAAAACTAAGATAAAAGATTTTACTCTGCAATTTTAAAGTAATCTTGTCGATCCAAAAGTAAATTGTCTCAATAAATAATTTTATTTGGATATAAAAATTCTAAATCAAGTACAACATAAAAACATAAATGTTGTTCATTATAGAGACATCTTTATGAATATACGTTAATAGATCATCAGTTTGAAAATATATATTCACTAAGATTTCTTATCTCTATGAGAAGATATATTAAGGCGCATTGTGCGTAGAAGTATAAGGCACGCACATCTATTTGGTAGCTCAGAGACTTTAATGCATAAATTACTACTAAAATTAGTAGAACTTGTGGGTAATGCTTACCCTGAATCAAAAAGAGCAACATCTCTCATTAGTAATATTTTAGAACAAGAAGAAATAAGGTTTAAAGCAACTATAGCGCGTGGTTTAAAACTACTTGACAATAAAATAAAAGCTCTATCCCCAAAATCTGTTTTCTCTAGTGAGACATCGTTCAAATTATATGATAATTACGGCTTTCCTGTCAATCTAACGGAAGATATATTGAAGAGTACACATATTTCAATTGATCTTGCTAACTTTAATAGTAAGATGCAAGAACAAAAAGAAAGAGCTAGAAAATCGTTGGTAGGATCCAACGAAGCAAAATCTGATAAAATCTGGTTTGATATCAAATTTAACTTTGGTAATACAGAATTTTTAAGATATTCTCTGTCCCAAGTAGAAGGTAAAATAGTAGCTTTAATAAAAAAAAGCTTGTCAGCACCAGAAACCGAAACGAAATGAAAAATCTCGATTCGAATTCGATCCGATTCGATTGATGAAATAGAAGATAATTGATTCAAGGTATTAGTAGGATACGTCGACACCAACATCAATACTGTCGACGTAAACTGTGGGTGAAGGGAACGATTTTCACTTTCACTTTCACTTTCACCCTCAGGTTGAGAGTGAGAGTGAGGATGACAGTGGAAGTCGTTCCCTCACGCGCAGTTTATGTCGACAGTATTGGTGTCGGTGTCGACATATCCTACTAATATCTTGATTCAAATTGACAAGAATAAACTACACATATACATTTGGATATCTAATATCAATATAACTGATCTCGATTATGGTATCTATTAGTTGTTATTTAAATAACAAATCAAATAATAAAATATTTCGATAGCGATCTCTTGAAAATAGATGTTTTATTCCAATACCTTACAAGTGTTTAGTACTCGACAAAAGTTTTCTCCCTGTTCACAATAAATATTTTCTTCTATATTGACACAAAGAATTAAGATACTGCATATTCGTATACTGAAGAATTACAGACATTTACTATGTGAACAATCATGTGTATTTATCATCTATTCAACACGGTAGAAATATGTGAAATACGCTTAAGAAGTAAACGCTTTTAACTGTTCACTCACTTATAAAGTTTGAACTTTGTGTACAATATAGACTCTAATCAAATATGAAAATTCCCAAACGAATAAATCTTCTTAGATTTTTTGTTTAAAATTCTAGATATTTATTTTTTAACAGTTTTACCCTGAGACGAAGTACATACAATGAATGAATGAATGAATGAATGAATGAATGAAACATGAAAAAGAAATCGTATTTTCATTGACAGAAGCATATTACATCTGCTTGAGTAATAAATAGAAATATTTGAAAAAGATTCCAAATATATGGATACGATAAGCAAGAGTTTTACCTTTCTAAAAGTATTATCCTAGGTCGAGACGAACGGACCGAGAACGCGTTCGTAATGCGTAGATCGTAAGATGTTCGCGCGTTCCGAATGCATCCTCTGCTCTGTTGGGAACGCGTTCTACATAATCACGAACGCATTTTTTTTTTCTAATCATTTCTCAAGTGGAGACAAATGGTTCGACAACGTCTTCTCAACGACCGAATATATCGAAATGCGTTCAGAACGCGTTCGATAATGTTCGTTCGTTCAGAACGCGTTCGTAGCGTTCCAAACACGTTTTCGTACGTTCGCCCGTTTCGAACGCCTTTTGACTCCATTCGTCTCGACCTAAGATGTCTTGTCTCAAGATATCCAATGTGCATGACTTTCTTGCTCAAGATTTTGAAATATTGGAAAGAAAAAAGTTCAACTCAAAGTTAAAACAGACTTAAATCATCTTTTTTTAGGCAGAGTTATTCATCTCATCAAGTCAAATATTTTGATCTAAAGCAGTAGAAAGCACAGTTGAAAAGATCCTTTAAAACTATTTTACAGGGAAACATTTCAATATACTATTAAAAACTAAAAATAAAATCGAGAAATTCAATTTTTCGAGCTCAGCAATTGAGAAAAAGTATCATTTTATGTAACCGTCTGATCAATGACAATGATAAACTATAAAGATGAATGATCATCATCTACTATAATAATACTCTGGGGCCACTACTTTATGTAGAGTATACTTTCTTTAAAAAAAAACTTTTCTCTATGTGTAGAAGTACAAAAAAAGGTAGAATCTGAGACAACGTGTCTTCTCGTAGAAATCATTCTCTTGTATATTAAAACGTCTTATATAAAAATTCATAGAAAAGATTTTCTAATCATATCATCTAAACGCACGAGTGACGAATTTTATGAAGAAACAGAAAAAATTTAATGCTGAATTGTAAACACAAATTTTTATTATGTCAAATTTAGGAAATAATAATTTGAATAGAATTAAAACAATGCATTAATTTATCAGCATTCGCATTTTGTTTTTTTAGCCATTATTGAAAATGAATTTTATTTTTGTATTGAAAAGCGGAATTAATGGAAAAAATCATAGGAAAGGCGAAATAGTAGAAGAGATAGCAATCCTGTTTTAAATCAATTTATGTTAACGTATCAATCATGTCTAATACTTTTTTCCAATAAGAAAGCAGACGTATCGTCTCTTACGTAATACAAACTTTTTTTTTTATCAAAGCATATACACCTATGATTTTATTAGATTCCGAAATAAATAAATCTGAACGTTTGTCACAGGTATTAGACAGAAAGACATGTTTTCCGATCTGATTGGTGAGTGAACTATTTGGTATATAGAAGTTGTTCATTTAAAATAAAATTCATTTTATTTACTTTTTGATGTGTGTTGACCTCTAAGTGTTGAATAAAAG